CCCCGCCGAGCTACCAGTCCACAGTACGAAAGCTAATCAGTTGCAATCGCAGAGGTGGACCAGCCGAGGGCGTTTCTCGTTCGCTGTAGCATAGGGGGTACGCGCGGTAATACGCCTCTATCGGACCCGCACGCGAACCGACATCTTGGGGGGGCTGAGGTCCCRAGCGCGACTCATCGTCRGTCGACTAGGACGCATCCCRCACACCACKCGCACTCCACTTTACGAACACTCATACACACAAAACAACATATATACGAAACGACACAATACCAACAACGCGRCAACGCTCCTAGCCCCTCGGTAGCCAACCCATAACTTTCCAACGCGGAAATCGGATAAGCGTCGCGCGCTGAACTTAGTATAMAACCACGCGGACGCAGGGCATATTCATATCGACTTGCAATGCAGKCGTACACAATCAGTCGCAACGATGRCGTACTATGTAGTGCCCATAATCAAGCGGTCCCTCGTGGATTCGAGTACCGCTTATGACACTYAAGTRTCARACTTGAAGTGTCGTGAGGGCCTAGCCCTTCACGACATTGCACGGCTGAAGGAATAGTCGTGCAGCCGCCGAGGCACCTCRGGCTCTCGACCTGAGTGTCACGGTAGGCAAATCAAATAGACTCTTCGCGAGGGAAAACCCCTCCCCTTCAGAGCCTAGGGCTTGGGATGTCCTGTACAAGGACCTCGAATCCCGGCCCAGGACCAAACATCCGACTAAGAAAATCATCAAAAAGCAAGAGACAAGAATAAAAGGAGAGACCTCCCCTAAGTCCCTCAGTCTCAGCTTCTGAGTGGGCTCCAATGTGGGGGCTCTTCAACCCATGCAAACATTCATCCCAAGTATACCCATGTATACATATATAAGATTTTAATATGTGACGATCACTTTTCATAGTTTCGCTAGGGTCTCTCACAATAATACGTATATGTGTTATTTTAGGCAACCAAATCCAGAATCCGATTCACAGCACATACCTGCCATCACATCAACAAACCAAATCAACAGCCCACACACTACACGGAGTCAACCCC